GGAGGACGAGCCCGAGGCCTCGGCGGGGGACGCGTCCTTTGTGTGCTGCGACTGCGGGGCCGGCGGGCCCGGGAGGCCCTGCGCGGCTCCGGGGGAGTCCTCAGCGCCAGTTGTGAGACCTGGGAGTTGGCCGAGGGAGGTTAAACCTGGAAGGGAGGCAGAATTCAGAAGGGAGACCCACGCGTAGCGAACCCCCAGGTGCTCACGGTAAACAGACCTGGTGGGGCTTTGTTTTTATTTTCTCAAACGCCGTCGCTCAGTTTTCCAACAGGTAGGGGTTCAGATAGTCATCTAAGAGATGTTTTTGGATAGTGATCCAAAGAGATGTTTTTCAGCTGAACGGAACAGATCACCTCTCCCTTTCCAGAAGTCAGCGGTTGTTTTCCCGATCTAGGCCGTGTGTGCTGCCAAAAGGTGTGTGCTTTGAAAATGAGATAACTGTACGAGACAGTTGCATAAAATCCCCGCGGAAGCAAGTGCTCCAGTTCTTAACCATGAATCAACTGGGTGAGGTCACCGCTACGTACCTGGGATGCACGGGTCTTGGTGTGGTTAACCTGACGCTAACGCCGCAGTCCCGCTTTTGCTAGGACTGTGCGGAAGACTGGCAAGCACACGCTGAAAGGGCACATGGGTTTCTGTTAATCTTTGAAAACAACCTGAGACTGAAGTGTACTATGCTGTAATTGCAGGATTAGCTTGGAGATCACAACTAGCAACAACTGATTTGCTGGCAGGCGCAGGCACTTAGGTTTTCTGGAAGTGTTTGCTGCATGAGCAGCTGGTTCCCCAATCAACAGGCAAAATCACTTGGCAGGAATAGGTGTCACTGTCGGTGTGCAAAACTTCTTTAGGTAAAGAAGAAAGTGAAATATCTTCACGATAGTTTGAGAACTTAAGGTGTGCAGGATGACAAGGTTTTGCTGGTGAAACTTGGTGATTAGTGGAGAAAGTGTGAATTTTGTTCCTGTTTCTGTCGTGGATTCCTCCAAGCATGTAGGCGTTAAGGGCTTCGGTTATTCTGAGTTCATAAGCAGCAGGGTGGTAGCCAGGATACTTGGATTTTCCTGACCCTCTCTAGCAGAGTGCTGGCTGATGTAGCCACAGTATGGTGTGGGTGGGTTTAGGGTGGGGTTTTTTGTTTGTTTGTCTGGTTTTTGGTGGGTTTTGGGTTGGTTTGTTTATTGTAGATGCAGTTGTATTGGCAAAACTGCACTCTTTGGGCAATAGGTTGTTGCTGGTGGAGGGGGTGATGGTTTCTGTTGCACCAGTACAAACTGCAGCGCTGCCATTGTACTTGGAGATGTGTTAGAGGTGCTTTAAAGGGGTTGTAGCATTTGCATTTCGTCAATTCCACGGTGTCAATCAGCGTATTGGCTAGCCAAATGCGTTATGTGTAAGCACAGCCAAGGTTCTTATTTCTCTTTCACGCTACGTATCAGATCTGATGCCTTCATTTATCCGTCACGGTCCAACCATTCCAAGACGAACTGATATCTGTCCTCCTGACTCAACTTCTGCATATGCTTCTGCTGGAGATGGAATTGTTTCCAGAAACCAGAGTTTCCTTCGAACTCCAGTGCAGAGGCCGCCTCATGAAATAATGAGACGTGAAAGCAACAGACTGTCTGCGCCTTCCTATCTCGCAAGAAGTTTAGCGGATGTCCCTAGGGAATATGGCTCTTCCTCCCAGTCCTTTTTAACAGAAGCGAATTCTGGTTTGGAAAACGGAGATGCTGGTGCCCGCTGTTATTATTACGATCATTTTTTTGATGCCCAGAGGAGGCGGCAGTTAAACGATCGCGTACAGGAGGACTTCAGGTATTACGAACACAACAGCGATCTTTTCCAGAGGATGTCGCAGAATCACAGGAGACACGCTTCAGGTCAGTGTCACGTGGTGCTTTTTTAACAAGATGCTTTTGGTAAGGCTCCAGAGGTGTACCTGGATGATGGGGGTCGTGTTTTTCGGAGTTAACGCTGTGTGGGACAGAGCTGCTTTTTAACTGCTGTGATCTGAATACGCTGCCTGTTAGAATTAAGAACCTGATCACAAATACCCAGAAAGGAAGACTAACACTTATGCTAGGATTGAGTTATTAAATAAATGAGGTGAGGTTGAGCAAGTTTTCTTTTGAAGCCAAGCATATGTGCAGTTCCTCTACACCAGGTTGACTCAGTTGCTAGCTAGCAAGGAATGGTGTTCTTCAGGGGACATCTCCTGTTTTCATGACGTAGGGAATAACCAACAGCTCTAAATTGTAACGTTGCCATTGCATTTTTTAATTATTGTTACTGTATTTTAACTATCATCATGTTATTATTTAATTTTACTGTGTTAATTTGACCTCAATAATTAAAATCATTTATTATAACTAGTCAAAGAGAGGAATGAGGGCTTTGTGTAATTAGCAGAATGGCATGTAGTTAGTGCTGAAATTGACTTCCTAGTCCTTGACTCCTTGTTTTCTTTTAGCTTGTAATGTTGTTTGTAAACATGCCTGTTGCCCCCCTCAGTTTCATGGAACTTGCCCTTGTTTTCTAAAGGAAGAACAGCATTAGAAAGAAGAATCCGTTAAATACTACACCTTTGAAATAAGTGATTCTGTCTGTGATGACACCGAAGGTTAATTCTTAGGTGCGGTGCGCTGTTGTGAATCTGTTGGTAGAAAAAAGGGTCTGGGGTTACAATATTGGCCGTAGAAAGGTGACCTTAAAAGTAGTAAACTTGGCTGTGCTCGAGCACTGGGAAAACTCCATTGGAGGAGGAGGAGTTTGGAACAAACATTTCAAACCTGTAGGTAATGTACCTTCACTGGGAAATACCTTGTTAGTTCACTGTTACTTATAGTCTGTAAACAAAATAGTAAATAGTCTCTAGTGAATAAATCTCCTGTCTAAAAAACAAATCTGCTAGGAAGAACGTCGGCGTTTAAGGCTGCTGACCTTGTGTACGGAGTTACAACCCGGCAGTGCTTTGGGAGGGTTTATACTACAAAAACATTTCCATGAAAAGCGCCAGAAGGGGAATTCTGAAATGCCAAGGTTTAATTAAGACTGGCTACTTTAATCCTGGTTTATTTTGCTCAGTGCTCCTACGTCTGATCTACCTAGAGTTGCAGGAAAGCCCTCCGTCTCTGTCAGTTGTTGTTCAGCCAGCAGTCCTTGAACATCTACCTGGTCTGGATCATGAGCCTCTGTTTGCGTGTGCTGGGAGACTGGAGGGACGAGAGGCAGGAGGGGGAGGATTTCGTACACCAACCCATCGATTTAGCACTCAAAATGACCGCAGTAGCGGTGTGTGCTGAGGGAGAGGTCAGAAACTGGTGCTGCTGCTGGGCAGGCTGGGAACAGCGGTAGGTGGAAGTGGAGCTGTGGTAATGATGAAGTTTCATCTAGCAGACCTTTAAACCGAGCTGAAAGTAAAGCTTTACAGCTCCGTGTTTTTCTCAAGTGTAAAACACGGTTGGTTTTTGCTAAAAGTGCTTTTTACCGTTTCTCTACCCACCACCTGAGCGCTGGAAATCCTGGAGGAGCTGCTGGTAATCGGTTGGTCTTTGTCACCCACTCTCACATTTTTATATTTAATAGTTGGAACAAATTACTTTTTGATGAGTATATAATTTTAGGCATTTGTAGGGAGAGACAAAAAAGGTGAGCCTTTTGTCTGCCAAAGCATTGCTCTTTTCCTCTGGTGGGTTTTTGGTTTGGGGGGGGGGAGTTTTTTAATTGAGTTTTTGGTTTGTTTGGGCTTTTTTTTCTTTCAGCATGGAATATGAAGTCTTCAATTCCTCTTTCAGTTTTGTTGCAGTAAGAATATTGACAAAAGTCATTAACTTCTGTGCATCTTTTCAGGAATTGTTCTTTTTCTCAGTAAAAGAATTATGTAGCTAAAAATACAAAACCCCATAGTTTTCTTACTTTCTTCATCTCACCATTAAACTTTGTTTTATTTGAACCATCCATTGTCTTCAAACCTTCAGTGCTACACCACCCGTTCTGTAATTTCTGATTCCTTTTTCCCTGCATTCCAGAATACTGTCAGGCCTTTTTTACTTTTTTTTTTCCCTAAATTACTGTTTCCTTGCACATCTCCGTTGTTGTTTATAAGTGTTTCACCTAATCAAAATTCTTCAATTTTTTTTTTTTTAGTGTCCGTTTCAAACTGAATTCTAAGAGACTTTACCTGTCTTTCCTCGACATCTCTTTCCTCTCTTCTAGGTTAAAGGTTTGGGGAGGTCTGTGGTTGAAGTTATATCTGCAGTATAGATGGGAACTAACTTGTAACCAAGACCTCAGAGTTATTTGTACCTCTTTGAGCGGTAAGCTGAAAAATTCTTACGTGTCTATGAAAATTGCTGAGATAAAAGTCACAGTGTAAAGGGACTTTCTGGTGGTGGATTGTGAGCGGCTGACTGTGATGTCAGAAAAGCGATTAACCCTGTGAACAGAGAATCGGGTGCGCTTCAGTGAAAGTAGGTTCATCTCCTGTTAGAATGTGCCCCTTAAAAATTGCAAACTGTTTAATATAAGAGCAAAATAAATGCTAATTATTAAATGAAACCTATTTAGAGCTAAAGTAGCAGGGCTTTCCTTTTTAGGTGTGTACAATTCACTCATTTTTAAACAAATGGTAATTCCTGCCCTTTTGTGCTGATTCTGCAGTAATTTCTTCATAGCATGCTTTTTGAAGCTGTCCAAGTGCTTCCTGTCATTTCCTATTTGTGAATTTATGCTTACTTGGAACGCCCCGTTCCCTCTGACAAACGAGGTACTTGTGCTCAAGAAGTACCTCCAGATGCTTTGGAATGGGTTAGGAAGGCCTGGAAACTGCAGACCTGTCTAGGCAGGATAGCTAGCGAAACTTCTTTTTCCTATTTTATTATTACTTAACTCCCTTAAAGTTAAGCAGTTTGTTCATCTTCTCTTCCTATTCTTCATCCTGGTTTGGCGAGGGGAAGGGAGAGGATTTGGGCATCTTGAAAAAAACCTCTTGAGACAATTGGCTTAATTGAAGACAAATAGGAAGGACTTTGTGTGGCTTCAGCGCTTTGAAATGTGGTGGAAGCTAGTTGTGGGGAGTTCACAGACTCAGCAACTGCTCTGCCTGCATCAGCCCTGTGTCTGATAACAAAGTGGGACTTTCTCTCCAGCGGTCTCACTCTTTGCCCTTTACGCCGGGCTGCTTTGGCGGTACGATTATTCTCCTCTGCTTTCTAGCAGGCGGACTGAAGAACTTGCTCCGACCTTTCCTCCTAGCCTAAGAACTTCTTTCCAGGCAGAGTGCCTTTCCAGCAAAACCCCTTCGTTGGCCTGTGAAAGCAGTTACTCATCCCGCTTCCAGTTTTCTTTGTTCCATACTGAGGGAACAAACCAAACAGAACTTCCTTGACTGGGAAGGGTATTACATCTTTTTCACATGTGTGATGTTACTAGCTTAAGATAGGTTTTTAAGAGAAGAATATTAAACAGAGGAACTCTTTGGGTTGATAGCTTGTGGTGCTCGAAGTTAGAGTTAGGGTCCTGGTATTAGGAGACCCTGTTGTTGAAGATGTTGAAATATAGGGCCTGGCCTTGCTTAAAACTCGGAGTATTTTACGTCTTGGTAATACCAGTATGTATTAACATTAACAAATACCTCTTGGCCTGGTTGACAAGACCTCAAACTGAAGACACTGTATTGTACAAGAGAAGGAGAAAGCAAAGCCGTGTTCACTATGGAGGTGCTTTAAAAACAGCTCAACCAAAAACTACCCCAAACACATACCATTAGGACACAGAACTAACAAATGAAGCTGAACGAGTTCCAAAGAACCTGAAAAGGATTTACAGTTGCCTAAACTGAAATTTATCGTTGACCGTTCTTGAGGTTGGATAGTGCCAGTTGGGGGAGGTGATAAGGAGCTACTCATCCTTAAGCAGCGGAAAGGAGACTTTTAGCATTTGGAAAAAGCAGATGATTTACACAACTCTCTTCCTTGGGGAAGCAGGGTGGTTCGACCAGTGTGTTTTGTTTGTCCTGCGGTAGAGATCAGAGCCTCCACCAGGAGGAAAATGGCAGGTTTTACACCAGGTGTTTTGATGAAAATGGTTCACGTAGTAAGTTTGGAGTTATTTCCGTGCACGGTTTGCGTTGTGTTGTGCTAATCTGGTACCAGCCCATGATTCGGGGACTGTCCGCGGCGTGTGCAGTAGAACGTGAAGCTTCGGGCTGCGATGAAAATGCTCTGGGGCTCAGACCTGGCCTGAAGTTGAGACTCGGAAAGCATCATACTTGGGCAGTGGGGGACAGCAGAGGCAGTGCTCACCGGAGATGGTTTTAGGGTGTCTGGGAACTTTCTTCTTTGCTTTATACTTTGGATACTGGCTTGTACGTGTTCATTCTTCAAAGTGTTGCTCACAGTTGATACATACAGGTATATGTATTATATGTATAAAGGTCAATTTTCAGCTTCTTGTTGAGAATTGTAGCAGGAGCTCTGTCTCTTGCGTGTGTATCCACTCTCTCCCGAAGGAAGCATCTGCTGAGTTTTATAAAGAAAACCAATACACAGTTTCTTTTGATCTCTAGTAACCCCAGTTAGATAAACAAATACCCAAACTGTACTCCTTGCCCATTTGAATGCCACGGTGGGTTGATGGTGCTAAGACACTGAATAATACCAGACATCTGAAAACTTCTGGCACGCAGGATATTTCAGTGTGACCTGTCATTTTAAGGGGAAAATACACATTAAGCCTGTATGTGAGAGTCTACAACCTGAAGCGTTTGCAAGCGTCAGTTTACAACTCTGGCCTTTGGTTTCATAAGTGGAGTTTGCCAGTTGTAGAGGCTTGGAGCCCTCCTCTGAGCTGGTAACTGATGCAGCTACCTAGGTTTATCTTCAGGGTACGGCTCAGATTCTTTAGATAGAAAGTCCCAATGGCAAAATAGTCTATTTCTGTTCTGCTGTTGTTTTTGTTCTTTGCATCTTGGAAATCAAACCAAAGAAGCCGGTGTTGGGACAAACCACGTAGCTAGATTTAAAGGATTGTGAAAACCCAGAGCTGCCGGCGTTGCCTTTCCGTGGGCACAGCATCACTTTTTAGCCTGCTTTTTAGGCCATTTCTCTACATAACCTGGATTTTGGGTTTCCTCGCTACCCGAGTCCATCTCCCCGTCTTCCCAGGCTTTTGGATGAAGAGGTAGAGGCATCGTGGCAAGAGAGCTTCTGATGCAGAAGGTGGCTTGTGCAGCTTTTAATACCACCTGCCAGATGTTAACAGGCGTTAACCTTGACTCGAAGGAATAAATACCTGTGTCTTTGCTGTTGGAATTGTGTTGGGATTCAAGCACGAAGAACTGTAGGAAAAATACAGACGTGCTGAGGTTAAGAGTAAACAGAAAAATATGTGAAAGTTCCTTCCCTGGTCAAGTTGGTGTGTTCACATCTTCAGGTAGGGGTGTTTAATACTTGCTCTTTAAACGTACGTGAAGTTACAACACAGCGGTCCAGCCAACTGGAAAAAATACCAAATCTGTTTATCCCCAGTGCAGTGTTTTCACGAAGCTGAAATGTTTGTATTTTGCCAGTGGAATGAAAACAAAACCAGTGACATAAATGTAGCTAGGCTCTGAAATAGTTTCCCTGCCCCAGTACTGCTAAAGGTCAGGAAGCCTCCGGGATGTTTCTTCCCACTGGAAGCCAAGGTCCAGGTTGCTTAATCCCAGCGAGAGGAGGGAGCTGTCGCGTGAGCGCAGCCATCGCCTTTCCTTTACGAAGCTAACAGACAGGTGGGTGCTGTAATGAGAGGAAACACTTCGAGAACAGATAGTTGTGACAAGGCTAACAAAAAAGGTCTGGAGATGAGCAGAAATGTTCTGCGGAACAGGACTCAGGAGGAACTTGGAGAGACCTTTTTTAAATTTATTTTTTGTATTTATTCACGTGCTTTGGAGCCTTCCCATTATTTTATTGTTGAGGAATGCTATCCTTTGTTGGAATGACAGCCCATTCAGTCTGTCATCTTATGTGTAAACTAATGCTGAAGGTAGATGAGGGGTCCCTCGGCTGGCGGGCTGTGTTGTGTGTGAGCTGTGGAGAAGGACCGTGGCCTTTGTCGGCAAACGAGCGTGAAATGGCCTGAAAAGATAGCAGTTTTGTTGACTTTTTTCATTCAATGACCAAGCAATGATCACACGAAAATGTTATTTCTGAAAAAAGGAAAAGGTTGTATTCCTACCTAAAGGGGCTACTAGGAAGCTGTGGGGGATTTTTTACAAGAGCCTGTAGTGACAGGACAAGGGGTAACGGGTTTAAACTGAAAGTGGGGAGATTGAGATTTGACATCAGGAAGAAATTCTTCCTGGAGAGGATGGGGAGGCACTGGGACAGGTTGCCCAGAGAAGCTGTGGATGCCCCATCCCTGGAAGTGTCCAAGGCCAGGCTGGATGAGGCTTGGAGCAACCTGGTCTAGTGGAAGGTGTCCCTGCCCATGGCAGGGGGTGGCACTGGGTGGGCTTTAAGGTCCCTTCCAACCCAAACCATTCTGTGATTCTATGATGGAGCCGCTTTCTGGCTTCTAAGTGGGAGAAGGGTCACTCGTACCCCTTCCTCTCGCTAAGAAAAATGGTAACACACAGACTGGGAATACCGCAATCGAACTTTGGTTGTGGGATGAAAAGATAATTGGGATTTCTTTAAAGGCAGAGACTGTTTAACTGTAGAGCTGTGGGCAAGGGAACGTAACTACTTAAAAGGATTTTTAAAAGAGTTGGACTTGGGCCAGCACGTCCAGTGGGTAGTAGGCTTCCAAGGAATGGCGAGACCTTCAAAACTCTTCATGATGTCACTTATTTCTTGAGATTGAGGTTTTGGGGGGTTTCGGTTGGAGGGGTGTTTAGGTTTGTAGGTGGTTTTGTTTGTTTAGTTTTCTGTAATTACGGCTTTTATTTCAACTACCTTCCCAAGTATCCGTCATATATAGAGGAAAGAAAAAGATGAAATTGGAATTGTGTGGGTTGGAATTACGGGCTGGGGCAATCCCAAACACAAGGACAAGCTGGGTGGAGAATGGATTGAGAGCTGCCCTGAGGAGAAGGACTTGGGGTGCTGGGGGATGAAAAGCTGGACACGAGCCGGCCGTGTGCGCTGGCAGCCCAGAAAGCCAACCGGATCCTGGGCTGGATCAGGAGAAGTGTGGCC